ATTTGAAATTATGCACATTCAGATTTAATATGAGCAATTCAAATTCAATTCCTGCTGGCACAAGATTTATCCCATAGCCTTCTTTCACCTCTTTTCTGAGGCATGTCTCAAATCAACTCGTTTGGAGGCTGTGTCTTACAAGGCCCTTCACACACTTTATAGACCAGTCAACTCCAGTTTGACAAATAGGTTTACGACTATATGGCAGTGCAGAAATGTTTTATTTACAATTTAATTAAAAGATGTCAACAACAGAGGACTTGTCCATCCAGCCTTACATGTTGGAGCCAGGATCTGACCCAGAACCAGAGTCTGACCCAGAACCAGAGTCTGACCCAGAACCAGAGTCTGACCCAGAACCAGAGTCTGACCCAGAGTGAGAAGAATTATGAAGAAATTGTAGTTGGTGAGTCCAGACCTTATTTGGCAATTCTGTTGCATGATGTTTTCTGAATTATTACATCCACCCATCCTCTAAAACCATTCAATTACTCGTGAAAATAGTTAYAAAAACTATCAATTATTGGCTGTTTTTTTCTTTTTCTTCAATAAACAGATTAAAAGTGAAAATTTACCGGTCACATTAATAGGGATGACACATGAAGCGATGACTTGGGTATTGCTTTTCATTCTCTCCTCTGGGGTGGGCAACGGAAGAGCTCTAGACCAGTTAGTCTGCTTGTCCAGGGTGGAGGGGATGTTAGGGATGGGAAACTTAGGCCGGTGACCTAGGGCCACCCCGTCAGTGTCAGGGTCAGTGGGCGCAGCCTGCAACAGATGGATATTTGCATGGTTAGACGGTCAGAAGAGTTGTTACAATGACTGAAGTCAGCTTTAAGAGAGGGGTATGTGTCCAACTCAGTGATCAGAGTTAGGGAATCAACCTGTACTGCTGCATGCAGAGATTAGTGGTGGGCTCTGAGCAGAGGCAAATCAACACAACTTCCCTTCTACAGCCACATTTTTACACTGGAGTGCAACAAGTTGCTCCAGAACAGAAACTAAAAGTCATGCTTCAGAGTTTGTGAGAATGGAAAACAGGGGAAACATTTCATGCATTTTGAGTTTCATGCAAAAAAAAGTGTTAAAAACTGAAGAAACCTCAGACCAATAAAACTGGCACACACACACACACACACACACACACACACACACG